GCTGCCTATGTGCGTCCCCCTGACGCGGGCATTTCCGATATGTGCCCTACGCCACCTCCCATGACAGCCCAAGTCTCGTTTGACTTTCGGGCCGCTACTTACAATTGCCTGACTCTGCAAGCCGTTTCCCAGCAAGAGAGCTTATGCGCTCAATTTCATCGCAAGGGGGTGGCTGTCGTTGGGCTCCAGGAGACACGCACCAACACTTCAGGTCGGAGCTACAATCGGCATTATCACATTCTTCACAGCCCCGCTGCGGATGGCCAATTGGGTTGCCAGCTCTGGCTGTCGAAGAGTCTTGCCGTTGCCAGGGTTGACAAAACTCCGGTGCATTGGGATGGGGCTAGCATGTGTATAGTCTGTGCCACGTCTCGCCTGCTCCTTGCTACAGCCAAGGCAGGCGGAGTCACCTTCGCCTTTGCCGTCGCGCATAGCCCGACGACTAAGTCAGGGGCTGCCTTCTGCCAAAAGTGGTGGGACAGTCTTCACAGTGCACTTCGCCGCCTTCCCCACAATGGTGTGCCTATGCTGTTCATTGACGCTAATGCGCACAACCACGATCCTGTGGACCATTTGGTGTTGCGCCCAGGCATCAATGTTAATCAGAAGGGCTTTGCCGACGTTGTCCGAGCACATTCCTTTTGCGCCTCCGGGTATGTAGACGCGTCAGGGGCCCCCTTTTATACTTGGCAAGGACCCGGGGATCAAAAAGCTTGTCTTGACTACGTCTGCTGTCCCGACTCGCTCAGGGCGGGAATGGTCGTGGAAGGCCCACTCCTCGACTTTGTGGGACACGTTGACCACGACCACAAACCTGTGCTTACGCGCATCGCCTGGAAACAGTCCGGCTCTTCTGCAGCCAAGATGCCCAGGTTGGATGTTGAGGCTCTTCGCTCACCTGCCGGCAAGGCAGCGCTTCAACAGGTTTACAGGCAGGTGCCCCGCATTGATTGGGCTGTGTCTGTTGATGAGCATGCCCACATCTTGAATACCCACTTGATGCGCGGCCTCCGGGACATATGCCCCAAGCTTGCCAATCGTCCCCGGGATCCTGTGACCTCGGACTATACCTGGCAATTGATCAAAGATCGACGGGCACTGCGCCGTGTCATGCACCAAATTATCGATAGAGGCGAATGGCAGGACTACCTTGCGCTTCTGGGTGAACAAGTCACGGACATGACCCGGCTCATCCGAGCGTCAGCCAAGAATGATGTCGCGCGGGCCTTGCGACATTCCTTCCAGGAGGCTAGGTCCCAGGGTGTAGAGGCATTGCATCGCCTGTGTAGGCGTATCTCTAAGACAGGTCGCCGCTACAGAGCGCCCGCGCTCTGTCCTGCCCTGAGACAAGAGGACGGAGCAGTTGTGGAGGACTCCTTCCGAGTGCTTGGCGATCACTTCGCAGAAGCAGAGCGTGCCACCCACACCACCGCTGAGGCCATTGTTACTCGGGGGGTCAGCTATGCCGACCGAGACTTTCCAGTTGCTAACTGTTTGTCGGTTGCGGGGCTTGCGCGTGCTTTCAGCGGACTCTCTACCCGAAAAGCGGTTGGCTGGTCCTCGCTGCCGGCCGAAGCATACCAGGCGGCTCCCCTTGAGGCAGCGCATCATCATGTTGCACTCCTGCTAAAATGCCAGCTGCGACGGCAGTGTCCGCTTATTTGGAGAGGTGGGGTCGTGGTCCCGATCCCTAAGCCCAATAAGCCCCCTCACACTACTGCCGGCTGGAGGAGCATCTTGTTGCTTGAGCCTGGCGCAAAGGCAGTTGCACGTGCACTTCGGGCAGACCTCCTTCAGGCGTTCGATTGTGTACGCCAACCCGCACAAGGAGGCTCCAGGCCTAAGAACCCGCTCCCTGTTGCAAGCGCTCATGTGAAAGGCTTGGTAAGACGCATCGTTGACTATAAGCTCTGTGGCGGAGTTTTATTTGTTGACGGCCAAGCCGCTTTCTACAGCCTTCTGAGAGAGCCGCTACTGGGCACAGCCTCCTGCAGTGACCAGGATTTCATACAGGCGCTTGCGGATGCTGTGTTTGAGTTAGAGGAAGATCGCATCCGTTTCATCCTACAGGCTATGGGGCCGGGTCTTCTGGCCACAGCCGCGGTGCCTTCCGCTATACAGCGCTTCGTGGCGGCCTGCCTCGATAATACCTGGTATTGTGTTGGACGGGATCCCGCTCATTTCTACCGGACCCGCACAGGCTCCGTCCCAGGAGCCCCGTTGGCGGACCTGCTATTTCAGTTGGCCTTTGGGAGAGTCCTTGCGGACATTTCAGAACGGGCTGATGCCCTTGGCATACGTCCGTTGTGGCCTACCACTTCTGGGGGCGAGGCTCTGGTTTTGCCGGCGCCCAGTTGGATGGATGATGTGGCGTTCCCGGTGCTCGCTGATCAGCCTGCAGAGCTTTTGGATAGGGCAGGTTGCATGGTGAAGGAAGTTGATGCTGCTCTGCACCGTGCAGGTATCAAGGTCAACTTTGCACCAGGCAAGACCGAATTTTTGCCTATCATTACCGGTGCCAACAGTAGGTTGCTTCGACGCTGGCTTTGTCAGCAAGAGGCCACCTTCCCCGTGACTACGGGCTCGGGTCAAGTCCTTGTCCATCTCTCGGAGCGTTACACGCATCTGGGCTCTGAGGTCGACGCTACCGGGGGACACCTTGCTGACTTGGGTCGCCGACGAGGTCTGGCCAGAGATCTTTGTAAAGGCATCTCTAGGCTCATCCGCAACCCACATCTATCCCCAGCCGAACGGACTAATCTTGTCCTCAGCATGCCCATTGCCCGGCTCTGCCACAATTCGGGGCTGTGGACGCTACGCACCTTGCAAGAGCAAAGGCTTTACAAACAGGCCTACATGGAACCCTGGAGGCGCTCTTTTCGTGCACTTTGTGGCATTTCCAGTCGGGGCCTTGATGATGATGCGGTTTGTGCCTGCCTGGGCATCCTTACGCCGGCCCAAGTGCGTACAGCTGACCTGCTGCGGTATGCGGGCGGGCTTCTTGCTGATGGGTCCCCAGTGTTGCGTGCACTTTGGTTTGACGCAGGCCCTTGGCACCAACAGGTCCTAAGAGCTCTCCAGGATTGTGCAAGTGTCGTCGAGAACTGCAGTTGGGAGCGCCTGTCTGCCGACCCTTCACTCGCCAGACAATGGGCCGGCAGTTTCTCTCGGAAGTGCCGTGGCAGGGCACGGCGGAGGCAAGAAGAACACTTGCTTAAATGGACCAATCTTGCCGAGGTTCGCACTGCGGGGGTGTACTTCTTTCACTTCAAGGGGAGCTGCCACACTGGGCCCCAGCACAAATGCCCCAAATGCGCTTTGCAGTGCAAGACTGCGGCCGCACTTGCAGCTCACATGAGCAAGGCTCATGGCCAAGTCGCCAGGTCAACCGCAGCGGCGAACGGTACTCGATGCGAAGTCTGCAGTACTGAATTCTGGAGCACTAAACGGCTTCGGGATCATTTGCGCAGGCAACCAACATGTTTGAAGGTTTGGGCGGAGTCCGATCTTGATAACCGCGAAGTTGCAGAGACTCCGCACAAACATGCTTGGCGTCCTGCCTGCAAAACTAGCGGACCGAGCCCGTGGTGGGCGACCCTTCGCCCTGAATCAGCTCCCTCGATTGCCGCCGAGGCCTCTTTCGATGGACTTCGTTACATCGCTGACTGGCTCCAGTCTGCTACCAATGGGTTGGCCGAGGCCCAGGTCCACCAGCTCATCGCTCATGGCATTGCACATCATCTCACTCCGGACGACATGCCTGTAGCGGTCATTCCTACGAGCGCCTCCGCTCATGGAATAGCGCATTGCGCCCTTTTTGCTGCACAAGCTATCCTAGCGCGGAGCGCGGGAAGTGAGGCTGTGCTTGGATACAGGGTCCATGTACAGGGGGACCGTGCATCCATCTGGCCCAACGGGGTCAGACCCATGAAGCCAATGCCTACGGAGTGGGACTTTGGCAGCTGATGTTTTCAGCGCGGACATGCATGCTGTGTGCACTCGGAAGAGTTCAACCATCACATGCAAAAAACTCTCAAGCCCAGGCTTCGCACTGTCCTAGAATCCGAAAAGAACTCTTACGGAGCTCCCATCGGGCCTAGAACCCGTAAAGAGCTCTCATAGAGCCGTCGTAGCCACCGAAACCCCGGGCGAGGTCGCCGACAGCGTCGCACATAGCGTAGCTACGAAGAAGGCGTCTTAATAATTACCTATACTATTTAAGGGGTATAATGGGCCCCAAAACCCCTATTCCCTATTTTTCAAGGCCCCTATATCCTTAGTGTAATTATCGTATAAGGGGCCCCAAAACCCCTATCCTAATTTTTAAGGCCCCTACTTGGATGATCATGGGACTTAGTAACTAGGATTATAAATAAGGGAACTATAATTATAACTCCAGTTAGGGTACTTATAACCTTACTTACTAAGTCCCATGATCCCCCAAGTATATTGGGGTGGGAGAAACTGCACGTGCAAACTCCGAGATCCGAAGGTCAGGACAACTCTCAAAGACAGATGGTCGTCATTAGGGTTTAGGGTCTAGGGTAGGGTTTAGGG